GCCTGACCTTTTGGTCGCACTCTGGCAATCCCTTCCAAGGGCAGGTTACCCCAGGCTGGAGCTCTGCAACCTCACGGAGATGGGCAAGAGGGACCTGCGGGACAGGGAGCCTCTCATGCAGCCAGGACAAGCAACACGTGCCTTGGGACTCTGTAGGACTGTAACAAAAGAATTTGGGGCCAAATCCTGCAAGAGTCTCACATCTCATGTGTATCTCCTGTGTGCGTGCAAGAGTCACTGCGACAGCGTTCGGAGCACCCCAGGCTCTCCTTCCTCCTGCTGCCCCTTCCTCCCACCCCCTGCCCAACCTTTGGGCTTGGCCCTGCTGTCACCTTCCATCAGGGAACCAGCAGCCCAGCAAACATTCCCCCAGAGCCCAAACTGCTGAAATGCCACTTGATGGACGACGGCAGGGTCTTTTCCAGGCAGCACTGAAAAAAAACCCTGCAGTGTCCCCTCCATGCGCTTTCCCTCTCCCCGAGCAAGCAGTGGTCTTGCAGCATCACCCCCCACACACGTAGCACTGCTTACAAGCAAGCCCAAACTCCATGCTTTGCTCCGAGAAGTTCTGCTTGCCCGCCCAAAGAGCCCCAGCGGACCCCCGAGTCCCCCGGGAGGCGGAAGGGCTCTCCAACGCCGGAGACAAAGGAAACGAAGCGGGGCAAATCCCCCGCCCATGTAAATCAGGCCCGGCGTCTGGTGATTTACACTGATTTACACCAGCTGGCTCTGGCCACAGCAAGTTCAATTTAAACCAGCTGAGGCTCTGGCACAGCCCCTGGGTTGGGAGAGGGAGAAAGGGAAGGCAGAAAGAAGGGGTGTGTTAGCAAACGCAGGGTCAGACCTTGGGCTGCGGCCGGGTGTCTTCAGCTGCAAACCTGGCTCCCAGTTTGCACCCAGGGAGCAAGGCGAGGCTGTGGGATGGGTTTCTAGCAGGTCTGTGATCTCAGGCAGGGTGGAAATATCCCGGCAGTGGTGTAAGGACTGGGAAGCTCAGATGTGGTTAGGGATGTTTCTGTGGGGAGAGGCTGCTGACGAGACGTGGGGTTGTTCTTGTGAGTGGTCTGGCCTGAAGTCCAAAGCGATGGTTGCTGCCTGATTGCTGTTTCTCGGGGCTGGATCCCAGTGCTGTGGGGCTGGAGGAGGATCTGCTCCCGGTGGGCTCTGCCAGCCTGCTTGGTGGAGACCTGCTTGCAGATCCCAGAGCCGAGCCATGGGACTTGCGGTGGGGAGCTGCAGTCCACCCCTGCCCATCACCCGTGCTCAGAGCCAGCTGCTCACCAGCATCTCTCTGTCCGACTTGGGGCGTCTGGTGATTTACACTGATTTACACCAGCTGGCTCTGGCCACAGCAAGTTCAATTTAAACCAGCTGAGGCTCTGGCACAGCCCCTGGGTTGGGAGAGGGAGAAAGGGAAGGCAGAAAGAAGGGGTGTGTTAGCAAACGCAGGGTCAGACCTTGGGCTGCGGCCGGGTGTCTTCAGCTGCAAACCTGGCTCCCAGTTTGCACCCAGGGAGCAAGGCGAGGCTGGGGGATGGGTTTCTAGCAGGTCTGTGATCTCAGGCAGGGTGGAAATATCCCGGCAGTGGTGTAAGGACTGGGAAGCTCAGATGTGGTTAGGGATGTTTCTGTGGGGAGAGGCTGCTGACGAGACGTGGGGTTGTTCTTGTGAGTGGTCTGGCCTGAAGTCCAAAGCGATGGTTGCTGCCTGATTGCTGTTTCTCGGGGCTGGATCCCAGTGCTGTGGGGCTGGAGGAGGATCTGCTCCCGGTGGGCTCTGCCAGCCTGCTTGGTGGAGACCTGCTTGCAGATCCCAGAGCCGAGCCATGGGACTTGCGGTGGGGAGCTGCAGTCCACCCCTGCCCATCACCCGTGCTCAGAGCCAGCTGCTCACCAGCATCTCTCTGTCCGACTTGGATCTGGCCAGGGGAAGAGAGATCTGCCACCAGAGCTCCCAAGAGTTGTCCCTGCCTGCCCCTGCCTCAGCCTCTTCTGCAGATCAGCTGCTGCACAGGGGCTGAGATGTAACAGCAGAGATAAATATATAGAGAGCTCCAGGATATTTGTGCCAGAGGAAAACCATCATCGTGTTCATCATAACCACATTAGTGTCCGGAAGACATCAGGAATCTGCGGCTTAGCAGAGTCGTGCCCGCTGCCGGGGACGCAGCCCGACAGCCTGTCTCCTGTCAGTCCCCTGCTCCACCGAGGTGAGGGAAAGCATCCCTGGGCTGTTAGGTTGCTGCATGCACACTTCTTTCCCTTATAGACTTTTCCTTCAATGTTTATGGCCAGGAACGTCTTACCAGTCAGTTGGCTCAGGAATATTTCTGTTGACTGGGCTCGGTGACAGCAGACAGCGACGTCCCACTGCATGGTGGTATCCTGCCACTTAGGCATGGCTGGGGCTCTGCTAGCAAAGCACCATCATCTCGGCTTAGCAGAGTCGTGCCCGCTGCCGGGGACGCAGCCCGACAGCATGTCTCCTGTCAGTCCCCTGCTCCACCGAGGTGAGGGAAAGCATCCCTGGGCTGTTAGGTTGCTGCATGCACACTTCTTTCCCTTATAGACTTTTCCTTCAATGTTTATGGCCAGGAACGTCTTACCAGTCAGTTGGCTCAGGAATATTTCTGTTGACTGGGCTCGGTGACAGCAGACGTCCCACTGCATGGTGGTATCCTGCCACTTAGGCATGGCTGGGTCTCTGCTAGCAAAGCACCATCATCTGAACTACAGTTTTTATAGAGTATCCATTATTTTCTCACTGCATTTCAGGTTTTACTTGATGTTCAGGGTCATGTTAGATGAGAAAAGCAAAGGGGAGGTATCAGCCCCTGGAACCCCTCAGCCATCAGCTCAGCTCCTGGGTTTCTAAGGGCTTTGGCTGAGTTGTAGCTGGGCAGAGATCTCACCTGGGACTTTTGGAGGAGGAAGATGCCCCACTTCATATCACAGCTTTCACTTTTAGCCCTGGCTAGGTCACACTGAAAGAGCATGAAGCCATGTATTACGATGGGCGCTCTCCTGAGGAACGGGAGTGGCAGGCAGCAATGGGGCAGGAGGATGGTGCTGAGATGAGGTCACTCTCTGCCTGGCCATGTTGAGAGGAGCTAGGACACGCATGCATCAGAGGTGTTGGTATGGAGGTGATACCTGATGACCTTGGGACATGTGGGTGTTCAGCTCTCTCCTTCTCTTGTTAGTTCCTCCACTCAAGCTGAAAAAGGAGCTGCTGCTTGGCTCAGGCTGGGTTTGGCTCTGTTGCTCATGAGCGGGGTTGGATTTGGGGCCCATGAGACCTCCTGGATGGATTTTTCTCCACCTGAGGAAGCTCCCCATGTTTCTGAGCTCACCTCCCACTCCAGGGACACCTCCTGTACTGAGGCTGGTGAGCTGAGAGGGCGCAGAGCATCCAGTGCACCATGTTTTCAGACTTCAGTGCCCTCCTTGCTTGGGCTGGCTCTGAGCATCCCCCCCTGGAGACCACCTCCTCCTCTGTCCCAAATCTGACTTCACACCACGGACCCTGTGCGTGCAGCAGAGCTGCAGACAGAGCTATCACCAGGCAATGCTGCAGCTGCTATAGCTGTGCAGCCACTTCCCAACTCTGTGCCTCAGTTTCCCCTCCCAGCCTGGGAGTGTCAGCTTCTCAAGGAAGGAAATGCTTCTTGCAAGGGCTCTTGCAGTACATAAGAAATGGGGCTATGGCCCTGCTGAGGCTGTGGCATGTGCCACCCTGGTGTGTGACACAGCCATGCTAAAGGGTGACAGAGAGGGACACTGTGCAGCTTCTCCCCTGGGGTTTCAGGTCGTGGCCCACTGGAGGGTGTGGGGTGCTGCATGGGCAAGCGTGTTTCTGGTCTGGCACAGCCAACATGGCCTGGGGCAGGATACGGGCACCCCGTGTCCGCTGGCCATGGGGTGCCAGCAGCATCCCCACCTTCCCAGCATCGCACCCTGCCCCGCTGCGGCACCCCAGCAGGTTTTCACAGCGGGTCTCCAATGGTGGCTGTGGAGGAACGATGGGCAGCTGGGAGAGGTGGAGGTGTCCAAGGACTGTCACTGTACCAAGGCCTCCCACTGCAGCCAGATGTGTCCCATTTTCCCCCAGATATGGGGTTTCTGTGGTACTGGGGGTCCTCTCTCTAGCACCCATGGGTGCTGAGGAGACATGGAATGTGCACGGGCAGCAGGTCCATGACCCAGCCCCGACTCTGGGAGCTGGCATGGGGCGGCACATCTCCACCCACTGTGGCATTGCCTGGCCGTGGTGGCACTGGGATGCTCCCAGCAGTGGCTGGAGGGCA